CCCAGCCCTGCCCCTTCCACCAAAGGCCCTTCTGGGAGCACAGAGCCGGACTCTCCCATCTTGCCCAGGAGCCCAACAATCCTGTCGACCCCTCTGCCTATTAATCTCTCCTTATACAGAAACTGTTCAATATCCCAAAAGAGCTGAAGAGACTAAATAACACGTTACACTCAAATAAAGCCTGCCATACAACTGCCTAGAAAAAAACCTGACTGATGTGAAAAGAATGTAAACATTGAATTTTAGTAGATGTGAGAAAAATCCAAGAAGTATGATCTGACTGAGTCTGAAGCAATAGTAGAAAACCAGAGCTTCAAAGTTACAATTTTTCTGGAAACAAAGAATCATAAGGCATATAAAAGAGAACATTGCCACCATGAAAAGAGAAGTTATTACTAAATTGACTGAATCCATTAGTATTAGAGGCTCGCACAGGATTTTGGCAAATCATATTGAATGGGGCAAATTTAGTGTTGACTAATTCCCCATATAGTCACTACAATGAGATTGTAAAACAGTTCAGAATTCAACCTGAAAAGTCTAAGGCAAATTTTTCAAACATGAGCACTAAAAATCACAACTCCTAAGTTGTATAGAGGAGGCCTGTGTGAAGCCTTACTTTGGAGAGCTGTAGCAGCACCTGCCTCCCCAAATGCTGTGTGAAGGGTCTGTGCCCCAAGGCAACTGTGGGTCTTTGGTTCTGCGAGATAGTAGAGCCCACTCCACTCCTGATTTTTAAAGTGCTGAGCACCCAGCATTTCCTGTTGACTCCAAGGCACTTTTGAAAAATCAGGGCACTTTTAAAATGCCTACATGTGATTGAGGAGTTTGATTTTCAAGGACCTGTTGAAAATCTTAGCAGTAGTTTGGCCAGTTTACATTTACAAGATTTACACTTGGTGTAACATCAAAATTAGCAGTAGTGCAAAAAGGATATACACTTTTTATACAACCAGTATTAGAAGGCTCTGAGATAATAGTAGGCAACACACACACAATAGGTAGAACATACCTCACATTCCACCTATAAAGACACTGTAGTAGTAATTATGGACTGATAATAGAGTTACAATGGATAAAGCTGATCAACAGGACAAACTGCAGAGCAGTCCACCAGTCTGTAGAATAGTCTTGCAAGGGAAGGAATGAAAGTCACATTGCTTTTAGTAAATAAAGAGTAGATTGGACAAAGTGTTGAAATTATAGGTGTATATGTAGGTGTATAATGTATATTTTCAATGCCTTTTGCCCAGCAGCATGAAGCAATCCCTTTTCTCCCCATGGATGTCTGTCTAGAGTACATTTGATTCTATCATTAAACTGTCTCCATGACAACGTCTCTTTCCATCATCCTATAACAGATCATTCTTTGTCCTCCATGTCTTCTTTTCCCTCTGGGTGGGATCCTTTCTAGGACATTCCTTGTGCTTCTGTCATGGGGTAGTCTCATGCCATAGCCAAAGCATCATCACCATCTTTGTCTGATTACTGAGCTTACAGTCTACTGACTTGTGCAGCACAGTGCTTCCACATTATTTACATGATCTCACCAAAGAATTCCCAAGGTTTATTTTTAAGTAATGCCAGTAGAGTGTCTTCAGCATCCTGATATTCACTTCCACCATCTGCCATGTTTCCATCGTATACAATAGTACTGGAAGGACAATAGTGTTGTTCAATCTTATTTTATCCTTCCAGATGTTTAACAAATAGCAAAATGATCCACTGGCTTTACTAATTCTTGCCTAGTGAGCCCTCCAACAGCAGCTATTATACTTTCCAGATAGATGAAATCATTTTGTACCTTTCACCATCAATCACACACCTGCCAGTGTTGACAGCATTCTTCTATTATCTGCAATTCTGTCACAGCGAAATTATGCGTAAGTCACTGCACAGTCACGATAATAATAGATTATTTCATGCTATGGTCACAGCAACAAAATATTGTATCTGCTGCCACCCATCAACAATGAATGAGTTCACTTGGTGCTAGTCCTTTTTGAGATGGGACTAAATCAAAACAAACTGAGGAACTGCTAAAGTGTGGCCATTGATCCAAGTGAGCTAACAACCTTTATTACATGGCATCAGGGCCCATGAGAACAGTTCCTTAGGGCAGATCTGCACTTTGCATTGGCACAGCTGCATTGCTGTAGCACTTTGAGGAAGACCCGCTAAGCCAATGGCTTAGTTTCTCTTCCTCCATGAGAGATGGTAGGTTTGCTGGCTGAAGAAACTCTCCTGTCAGCATAGAGCTATCTACATGGGAGTGGTGGTGGGGTGGGGTTAAAGTTGGTAAAATTATGTTTCTCATGGTATGGACTTTTCACACTCCTGAGCAACGCAGTTATACTAAAGTAAGTTTGTGATGTAGACCTGGCCTTAGTTCACTTTAATCAGTTGCTGTGCATTAACAGTTCAAACAGTTGAATGGGACCCTGCTGCTGCACACTAACAGTTCCTTAGTTTGCTTTGATTGAGTTCTCTTGGAAATGAGACTTGGTCAAAGGGAACCAATACACTGTCAATGTGCAGCAGCAGCATCCATTTAAATGACAAAACTTACTGTTTCTATGACATTCATGATTTTTGGCATTGAGTTAAATGGCAAAATTCACATTTTCCATGACAGTGGTGATCCTTATGATGTAATCATATCTTTTCCCATGGTCTTGGTCTTCCTCATGTTGATATAAAGTCCCACTTTGGCAGCTTCTACTTTTATGCTTATAAAAGGTCTCTTTCTTTCACCCAAGTTGATATCCAGTTGTCAGCCGATGGTCAGGGCAGTGAGTGGTGTGTGTGTGTTATACACCCGAGACTGCAACTGCTGAGACCGGGGTCCCTTCACAGCGGGAAACCTGGAGAAGGTTGACGGGCGCCCCAAGAAGTTTACAGGGAGAACTTATTACATCTCAGATTTCAGCTGCTAAGATACAGGATCCCTTCACAGCGGGCAGTCTAGGGAAGACTGAGAGATGCCCCAACAGATCTGTCACCTGGGAGTGACACAATCCAAAACTCCCAAGCTCTTCCTATACCTGTCCCTTATGACCAGCTGAAGTTCTTTTAAATTGTGCTTCGTTCTGTTACAGCAACGGAAGGAGTCAGGTTAAAGCTTAAACAGTTACAGGTTTATTAAAGAAACTTATAAATCATATAGTTACAATGGCTATTGCTCTGTTTCTTAACTGCTAGCAAATATAGATCTTAAAAAAATGGTTACAAAGAAAATAAAAATAGAAAATAGAAATAATGGTACCAGGTGACAGCTTAATCTTTAAAGAGCTCTAAGTCTATGTGTACACTTAAGACAAAGGACCACAGGTTGGGCATCCCACAGACCTCGGGAGACAATCAATACCTGCCAGCAGGTGTAGATGATTGGAGCTCAAATGGGGTGGGCTACTAAACCCCTCTTTATACCTCATGGGTCATGTAGGCTTCTTCCTGGTCTCAAGTGGCCAATTAGGAAAAATCGCTTTGAATGCCAAGTTTCCCACGAAGGGTGCAAAGCATAATTCACACCTGGGAAAATGCAGACAATGGGCACCTCTGGTATGTGATGGGTGAAGATTCCTCTCCTGGGACAGTGCAGGTGTGTCAATTACTGGTACTAGCCATCAGGACTGCGGGAGGCCCTGAGTCATCAGCTAGCCCATTTAGGGTATGTTTACACTACCACCCTTGTTCGAACTAGGGTGGTAATGTAGGCAACCGGAGTTGCAAATGAAGCCCAGGATTTGAATTTCCTGGGCTTCATTTGCATAAAGCCGGGCGCCGCCATTTTTAAATGTCCGCTAGTGCGGACTCCGTGCCACGTGTAGCCGCGCGGCATGGACTAGGTAGTTCGGACTAGGCTTCCTAGTCCGAACTACCATTACTCCTCGTGAATTCACGAGGACAGGAGGAGGGAGAGATGAGGGGGTGCCAGTAACAATCTTAAACTATTCTCTGCCTTCTGTCCTGACCCATTGCATACAATGTGGACTCTTCATACAAAGCTTTTACTAATTTAACATTCTTTGCTGGAATTCCATAATACCTCAGGATCTTCCAGAAATCTTCTTTGTGGATGCTATCAAGCATTTTAGTAAAATTAAGGACATTAAAAACCATTTTCTTCTGGTATTCAAAGCATTTCTCAATACATCTTCGCAAGGTGAAAATCTCATCTGAACACTACCTACTAGACTGAAATCCATCGTGTTCTTCCCCAAGCACATTATCAATAGCAGTTTTCATCCTATTCAAAATGATGATGTAAACACATTTCTGAGACAACTAGGAAAACTGTTTTACATCATAAAAAATGCTGTTAATAAAGCACTTGGGGAAGAACAGGAGTGTCACCCCTCTCTAGTTATCACAAATAAGCTGCTCCCCATTTTTATGGAGGCAATCCCTCTTCTCCAGCCTTCAAGCCACATCTAATCATTTCAGTATCTTATCACAGCCTGGTGCTTTCCTACTCATCATTTGGCTTATTGAATTGGGGTGGAATGCTCAAAAGCTAGGAGTTGTAACTCCTTCTGAGCATTCCATCCTTAGTTACCTCCTCAAAGACTTACTTCTAGGGGTATAGGTAAGTCTGCTATTTCTTCACACTGCTCAGTCTGAGCTAGTGATTTTGGTTGGTTAAGCACTGCTTTGAAATGCTTCATCCAATGAACTCTGTCCTTCCTCTTAAAATTGTACTTCACAATACTGCAAAAATTGTGAAAATTGTAAAGTTAGTTGTTTAGATACAAGAAAATGCTTTTTAGAATCCCGTCTTATACACCTCCTCAGTTTTTCTTGTTTTATTTTCCATTCATTCTCTCTTCTTTCTGATCTTTTAACATCTTTATCTTTGTTTGCATATTCTTGTGACACAATGGCTTTTTTACTGTCGTCTCGTCTTTTTGAATTCTCTTCTTTAATTCTCTCCTTCCATATCTTTGGTTGGAGCCATTCTTCTTTCTTAAGTCTTCTCACCCTCACTGTGATCCTGCCTGCATCCACTTGTGCTTCTTTGAAAAACTGCCATTGTTTGTTATTCTATGCCATTCAGCTGTGTCTAACTTCAAATTTCTTATTAAACTACTTTGAAATGTACATTTGTGGTTGACCACTAATTTTCTAATACACATACCGTCTGCCTTGTGTGATGTTACCCTCTTTAGTTTTGTATTCCCAATAATGAGATGGTGGTCACTCAGCATTAGCACTCGCATATACTCTGGGATACAACAATGAACTACTCCCAGCCTACTACTGACAACAGGGTGAAGTTTTTTCTGGATGCAGCCATCATGTTGATATCCAAGTTAGTTTGTCTCTCCTTCTGTGGAAATACTGTAGTGCCCCCATCAGGCCAAGATTGCGTAGACCACAGACTTTAATATGACATTCTGCACTGTTAGTTTGAACTGGAATGCCATGTCTGCCCATTATTTGTTCATATGCAGTATTATGCATTTAGATCTCCCATAAAAATAACAATGTCATATGTATTGATCTTGCCAACGACACTTTGCAATCTTTCGGAGAAACAGTCTTTACTGCATTTGTTGACATAAATGCTGAACTGTGACTTTGCATGGTTCGTTGCAATGAGAGCAGTCAATATTCCTGAATTTACAGACTCCCTTGCTTTCATTGGCTTCCTTGCTCATTATTAAGCTTAAGCTTTCCCCCTTTTGTCATCTTCTTTCCCCCAATATAAGCAATCATGCTTTCTGATGATATTTGTCTCATTCAGTTTACCTCATCTCAATCAGTCCAAATATGCTTAGACCACATATTTTCATTTTTAAATAATTTGTATCAGTCTATCTGTGTTCCATAGTGATCTAACACTCCAACATCTAATTCTCGTGTCGACCTTACCTGTGAAGATACTCCATTTCAGATGAAAAACTTTCTTGTGGCTTTGATTCTCCATTATCATTGTGTCAGCTGGATTTTCTGATTTTCTAGTACTACAGTAAAACTCCAATAGTCCGGCATCCAATAGTCCGGCACTCCTGATAGTCCGGCATCAAAATGGCAAGAGCCTAGTGAGTGAGCTTCGGCAAATAATGAGTCACAAGGTAACAGCGGCAGCAGCTGAACTGAGCAAAAAGGGTAAAAAAGGCTTAAAAAAACTATAACATTACAGTATACTGTATACAGTATGTACAATAAAAAGGGTTAAGAACACTTTATATACAGTATATAATGTATACAGTGTATATATATAACCAGTTTATAGTCCTGATAGTCCGGCATATTTGATAATCCAGCACCACCTAGGTCCCATAGGTTCCGGATTATCGGAAGTCTACTGTACATTGTTTCACGTTCAGCAGATTGTGCTTCTCTCCAATTGATGTTTATACTTGCAGATCTGTAACAGATCTTGCCTCTGCATCGTTTCCATAACAGAAAGCATTTTCATATGGAGAGGTTGTTAGCCTGCTCACAACCTCCTATCAGGCTGATCCTCTAGCCTGGTTCCTCCCTGTTGACCCATCTGGCTTGGTTAGATGTGGCAGGATTTCTAGTATCACCAGCATAGCTCTTAGGGTAATTGCAGTATTCAGTCTTTCCCGCCCACATGGGGAGATTCCATATAATGGGCTTACCAGGAAAAACTTATATTGGAGTTAGGAAATGATGTTTTTTGCA